AAAATGAAGCATTATGTTTCTGAAAGAAAATTGAAGTCATCTGTAAAGTAACTTCACCATCCTTAAGCACTAGTGCTACAACTATTAAAAAAACACGTATTTCCATATGCTGCATTCATAGGAGAAATAAACTAGGATTATGTATGATGGGGATTGGGAGTTTTGAGTAGATTTTATGCTGTGCTGTATCTTCAGGCTATTACAGTGTTGCTGCTCCTTCACGCTTCTGAATTAACCTTTCTGCTATTTCAAGTTAAATGTTTCAGTTGTCTTTCATGTAATACCCTTGCTCTAAAAATTTAGTGAAGATAACATGGAACAAGTGAGAATTGGAACTTTTTACTGAAAACATAGTCCACAAATACACAGGGCTAATCTCTATGTTTTGAGCTCACTGCAGTAGACTATCGTAATACTTCAGTTAACTTTTTGACTGGAACATCAAGAACTGCCCAGAGTAACTTTTTGTGAAAGGGAGTCTTTGATTTTTTTTATTTTTTTCCACCAGCAGTTAGTAACAAGTTCATTGGTGCAGCTGAGCATCCTATGCATTTGACATGTTCTTCAAATGAAAGCAAATAAGGGGAATGGGAGGGGTGCATTTATATATCATTCAAACAGGAAGACTTCCTTCAGCATTCCTGTGTAATTCAGGATCCTGTTTCCAGCTGTGTTATTTGAAGGATTCTTGTACAAGGTGAGGAAAGATGCTGGGTCAGAAATGTTGGAAATTTTTATGATCTGAATAAGCACAGTGCAGAGAATACTAATAGTTCACACCCACATTCTACCAATATATTTTCAGGGTTGCAGTTGTTTGGGACTGTCCCTGAATATCAGCCTTGCAGTTCAACCTTTGATTCTGAGGGCAACCTAGCACACAATGTAAAATGCAGTGCTTTAGCACTACCTCTGAATTAGAAGAACAAGGAGGAGAGAAGATCAACTTGAGTGTTGGTGAACAGTTTGCAAATTGAAGATGTATATTCTGAGGCATAGGAGAGTGATGCCTGAAGTGATTTTTCTACTTTTTGATTTAAACTCCAGATTTAAATGTGTTTTAAATTTAGATGTGCAAAATATTTTCCTCTAAATATACAGTTCATCATTTCATGTTCCTTATGAACAGTTTTTTAATTTCTGCTGTACTTTTATGAGACCATCTGAATACTATTTTCATTTCTTATGCCATGCAGTACATAGGAATTACTGAAAATGTGTGATGGGAATATTGCCTTTCTGGTACAGCATCATGCCTTTCAGTCTGTCAGTGGCTGCAAAGGATTTAGCAGTATGTCTGAGCATATCAAGCAAATGTGTAGAGAAGTGTGGTAGGGCCTCAAATCTTCCTTCTCCAGCCCTACTATAATTTGGACAATGTTTATAGCATTCTGGAGCTCTTGATCTTCCTGGGATGCATGCCCAACAAGAAATCCTTATTGTCAGCTCAAGTAAGAGTTTATTTGAATTTTTATGGCTCCTCTCTCTCTGGAGTGAAATACCAGAATGTAAATCTGATTAAAAATTGGTTACAATTTAGGTATAGGAAAGTTTGAAGCCCTATAAGCCATACTGTGTAAAAGCATATATGCTTCTAGTTTAAGATTTAAACTTTTATTTTTGTTCAGATGATTGAGATGAAATATACTTTTCTTCGGGTTTTTTTGCCAAGAATTGTTTTCTATGAAGCTGAAATGAATATTTATCCTTGATGATCATTATTAGAAAAAGATGATTTGTTTTTGCTAGCATAATGTAGTGACTAGTAACTAGAAGTCTTTATTAACGAGCATTGGGGTTATGGATAGTAACAGAAATTATAGATAAGTTGCAGAATGAAGATTTCAATTTTTTAGAATAAACCCTGATATATTTACATGGAAATATTTTTATTACAAAAGAAATCTAGTTAGTGATGAGACTTCATTAAACCTTCCTTGGCAGAGCAGGCTGAGCTCACTGGCTCTGGTATTTCTCTGCAAACAGCCTGGTGTTAAATTAACACCAGTGATAGTAACTTGACTTGGTGTATGTTAGTCACTATGTTGGCAAGGGATAGAGCATCTGTGCCAGTAAATATTGAGAATTTACATGCTGTTGCAGGTTTTCCTAAAGAACCTGTGACTCCCTTTCTGTCAGATGATGGGCTCTTTATCTGACTGTGGCTGCTGTTCCTGATTGGCATCTGGCTACCAATTTAAATCTAGTGCATGAGTCGGCCTTCTACAGAAAATCTGGTATGAGAAGGATTGACTTAAGACAGTAGCAAAGGCCTGATTTGGTAGCTGCTTAAACCTTTTATCTCCTCTGCAATGTGATGAATTATTATTAGGTGAAGACATGGAATTCACAGAGAGCTTTCATGGCAGTACCAGTGCTCTCGTTGGCGAACAACAAGAATTGATGGAATTATCCTTTTACATACTAATGATTTTGTTAAGGATTGTTTTTAAAGCATTTTCAGGTTTTTTTAAGACAGTGCAGAGAAACAAATATTTGGATGGTTTTTGGTTTTTTTAGGTTTTGTGGGTTTTTTTCCTTCTTTTCTGCTCTGTCCCCCAGATCAGAAGTTTTCGGTAATGAAAATGTATTATTAAGTTTAACTAAATCTAGGGCAGAAGCTGAGGGATGTTCATATTCTGATCTCTGAAGGTATAAACAATGAAAACTTAGCAGTCTTGCAACTGTGTGGGGCTTTGCAAATCAGTTGGTACCTGCAGTGGACATCCTGCTCAATCTTTTTTCTGTCATATTAATGCAATCCCACATCCCTGACCATGCCAGTGAACAGCAAGAGGATGATGTTCGTTTGAGTGCTTGTTAAAACACTGCTGGCTTTTTCCCCTTCCAAACAGACATTAGTTGTGGCCTTGGGGGACTTGCATTTTCATGCTGTGGAAAAAAAGACATCAGCAGGAACCCTTTCTAATTCCATGCTTATTAGTGACTTGTTTTCAGCAGATGGGAGAAAATCCTGGGTTTTTTTTTACCTGAAATAATTTAAAATTCGGTCCAGATTGTGCCATTTCAGAGTATTAAAATCCCAGATGCTGAAAGGCCTTTGAAAAATTCATAATTTCAAATTTAAACTCACTTTTAGACTACGTTAACTGTAGGTTTTATGAATGAAATACGGATGTGAAAGCTGGTTGTAGCTCCCTTGTGACTGGAAGAAGTTTGGCTTTTGGGTTAACAATCACTCTTAGAAAATTCCTTCTCTTGTTAATTAGTTCCTCCTTGTGCATTTGAGAAGATGGAGTAGCTCATTTTTTCCTAGAGACAGTATGGGATTAAGCACAGCAATGACAAGAATTGTGATGGATATGCTGCCCAGTCCACAGTTTGGGAGAAATCTCTGAATTTCCAGTAAAAGCCTGTAGTTTAGACTTATTTTCTGAAGAATGCAGCTGATTTTGAGTATCTTTGTATCATTGATATGTGTGCATGGCTCACAGCTCTTGAAAGTTGGGGCTTTTTTTCCCAGGATTTTTCAGACTGAAAAAAACTTCAAATACAGTTCTGTGTGAGTTCTTTTAGACTTTGTCAAAAGAGCTGGGTTTGCTCAGGGAATGGCTTTGCCTTTATAAGTCGCTTCTGGTGGTCTTCCAGTTCCTGCCTTGCTGGCTTGGAGTGGATTGACAACATGCTGACTGAGGTCAAGTGAACAGGCTTAGAGAAGCTTTGCAGTACAACTCTCTCTAAATGATTTCTATGAAATTCGCCCCAGAAGTCTTTGTTTTGTAATTCCTGTGTTTGTTTCATAAGGCCGGTGATATTAACACCACTTCATTGTTAGTGTACAGTACTCTGGAAGAGTGTAAGCATTTATGAATACTTTATCTTGTAACGCACAAGTAAAAAAAGAAAAAAGCTCTTTTCCTTAATTGATAAAAGGTTTCTTTTACTGATGAACCGTGACTGAAAATTGACATTAGTGACAGACATTGTGTACACCTAACCCTATAGCTTAAAATGCCTATTGAGTGGTAATAAAAGCATATACCTTTCAAAAGTTAAATTAGCATTTGCATTTTTGTGTAGAATAAAGCAACTCTACTAATATTATCAAGAGGAATATGTTTTAAAAACCTTGATTGTTATCTTTTGTTCATTTGTGCCTCAATGACTTGATTATCTGACAAAACCGCATGAAGGTGTTGGAATTACCTTGTATCACTCTTGAATCAAGGACTTGGGAATGTGATTTCTGTACTTGCTTCTTGCAGTTTAACATGAAAAGCTCTACTGCTTAAATTACTTGGTGCCAATTGGAGTGAAGTCATAATTCAAGATAAAAGAACTGCACCACAGTGTGATGGGGTCATGCCTGTGAACCATTAACAACCAGTTGAAGCATGTTCTGCTCTGCTCAGGAGCCTTGCTGGAAGTGCAGGAGGTGGCTGTGTGGCTGTCTTGCCTCAGTTGCTCCATGCAGGACCAGGGAGGGCCTCCCCAGGGTCCTCAGGAGTCTTCCCTGAGAGTAGCTGCAGGTCCTTGGGTGGAGGAAACCTTCTTGTAGCGCAGGGTCAGGCCGAGGGACGGGCTGTGCCCAAGGCACTCTGTCAGGAGGCCAAGGCTCTCGTTAGTGGATTCATACCTGGGCCTCAGAGATGAGACTTGTCCTGAAAATCTTAAGTGAACATTCTTCCTTCTTGCTTCGGCATGAAGATTTTCAAAGGGAGTGTAAGGGCACAGTAGCGAAGAGGGGAGAAGGAGATGTCAAGTGCTTTGTGAAGAATTTGGTTTACCTTGTGGTGTAATGAGGCTGGTTAGATTTAGCAGGTTTGGGCCTTAAAGAATAGGGGATAGCAATGATGCCTTAAAACTGTGTTAATGCTTGGATCCTCTCACACAGGACTAATCAGAAAACATCTATTTAGAAAATTGGTAGACTAGTTTTGTTTTTTTTCATGAAACATAATGGTGTGTTCTACTAGTGTTGCTATTCTATGAAATGTGGATGGTCAGCAAGGTTCACGGGTATCTGATGTGTTTTTCAGAACTTTGCCAAGAATATTTTTGCGATTCTTCAATCAGTTAAAGCCAGAGAAGAAGGCCGAGCACCTGAGCAAAGACCTGCACCCAACACAGCACCAACGGTAAGAGCAGTGCTTTGATGAATGTGGGGGCTGTGACACCAAAAGTGAGAGTACAGTGTCTTCTCATTGTTAGATATGCAATTTGTTTGGGTTTATTTCCAGCGAATGCACATTTTTCAAGCACAACTTCATAGTTATTCTTTCACTTAAGTCGCATTTATTGATATTGGAAGAGTTGAATCTATGAGTTTAATTTCTTCAATATGCTCTTATTACTGAGAGATTGCACTGCTAGTGCCAGCTTCTGCAGCTATCAAACACCAGCGACATCCTGCATGATGTGCAAAAAATGTATTAGATGAGAGCACTGCCATTTCAAACGAAATGTTTTGCTGCTTTTCTGACAGATAGGGTAGCAAATGTTTAAGAATCTGGAGCATGACTCATGAGTGGGAACAGCTTGAACCAGCTTTCTTTTGCCTGTAATAAATCAGGAGGACAGACTTAGAGCTTTGTTGTTAAAGTCTATCTAGGTATTAGACAGGATTTGTTTAGTATTGTGGTGTTTACTATTGTGTTCTGTTAAACCTAATATATTCTTGAACTCAGTGACTGTCTGTTCTAAAAGCTGTTTAATCATACTTGGTTTTGTTTTTGCTGCTACTGCATTTAACAAAGAACTAAATTCCAACATTTAAATATTTGCTTTGTGTTGAACTTCTTAAGTTGTGCATGGCATTATTCAAATGTCCCATTCAGAATAATTGTGAATATGTAACTAAGCTATCTACAAAAAAGACTGAATTGGTACTGAGTGTGCCTCCAGATTGGCGCTTTTTAAAACTTTTTTCCACAGAATGCCTTTTTTCCTCAAAATTTGTTTTTATTTATTTTATTTAGCAAAATTTTAGCTTAATCAAGCTGAAATGGAAAATTTTGTGTGGCTGAAGCCTTAATCATGAATTGTTGGTTGATTCCCCGTCCGCCCCCGCTAATTCTTTAAGTATAACAAAAACTCAGTGATTTCATTAAAGTTACAGATTTTAGCTAATGTAGTTTGTTACTGCTGCTTTAGTTTTGCTTCAGGTTGTTCTCATTGCATTCAGTATGTGCTTCTGAACTCTGTTTCTGTAAGACTGTAAGTGGATGCTGAAGGGAAACATCAGAAGTTTTCAAATGTATTGAAACACCTACAAAAGTGAACTGATTTTATACAATCGAGTAGTTCTAAGTAGTACTTTATGAAGTTCACAAACCATCAAATACCTTTTACTGTGTTTTACAAATCTTATTTAATCTATTTTAGGATCCCACTTTACGAAATAAGCAACCTATTCCGGCTGCCTACAACAGATATGATCAGGAAAGATTTAAAGGCAAAGAGGGTAAGTTGATTGCAATGCTTCTTTCAGGAAAAAAAAAAAGAGAACCAAAAATGATGAGTCATGAAGTTCAGATTAGGGGATTTTCTCTCCTTTGCAAACCTCAGAAAAGACAAAAACCAGCTCTAACTAGGCCTAAAGGTAGTTTTTCAAGTAATAAAGTCTATAAGTATTATTTATTAGAAATTATTTCTACATGTGAATACATCTATGTTTATGGGGGTGGTTTTTTGTGTATGAAACTACTATGGAAAACTTGGTCATATATTCCGTTATATCCTCTTGAAGTCCTAGGCCCTCCCTTGGCCTCAGTATACTTATATTTTAGTGCATTGATTTTACTTACTACTTACTGCTCATTGACAATTGCATGGCAGGATGGAGAAAAAAAACCAAAGCAGGATGTTTGCTAGCTTTTTCAGCATTGAAAAATAACCTAAACTAACTTCCATGAAGAGTTAATTGTTATAATAAAAGCCAAGGGAATTTGGGAATGAAAGGAACAAAAAAAATAAAACCAAACCAACCCTTCCATCAATATTTTTACTAGTATTTATTCAGTTTGCTTCTGTTAATAATTTAAGTCTTCAAAACTCATGTATTTGCCAAGTAGTTTCCCTTTTACTAACATTTCCTATTAAGAGTTAAAAATAGTAAATATCTAAACTGGACAGTATGAAATAAAAGGCCGAGAAAGAAATTAATGTGCAAGTGTAACAGTTCAAATGTACCATTGTGGACTCTTTTACAATAAGAAGCTTAGGTAAAGGAATGGTCTATGTCCTAGATGACAAATTACATGGTTCTAGTAAACAACCCATGCAGACAACATCTGTACTAAACAGGTGGGTGTATTTTTTGCTTTTACTGCATGTGTGCAGTTGAAGAAGGAACAGAAAATAACAGGTTTTGCATGGCAGGAAAGAAGAACCCAGAAGAGTTTGTCAAGAAGCTCACTGGTATGAGTTTAGAGTAGAAATTACTGAGCAGAAATCAAAGGAGACATTGGATGATTGACAGGGGAAAAAATGTTTCTATCTGTAATTAATGATGTTGAAAAATCCATTTCAATGTTATGTGATTCTGAAAATGTGGTGTTGGGGATTCTGTCAGTGCTGAAATGGACTTGACTGGACTGCAGTTCAGGTCAGTTGAAAGGGTCTTGTTCCATTTGAAAGGTTCTTTTGTGATGTGGTTATGAAATGCCTGAAATGGTCATATTCTACCTGGGTAATGTCATTATCATGCTCTTTATTCTAGGACAGGTTTATGTGCCTGAACTTCCTGGTTTCTTTTTTTGGTTTAGTCACATATGGAGTTAATTTTGTATTTCAGTTTTCTAGGTGTATTTAAAGAAATTTGTAGTTTAAAAATAAGCAGCGGAGTAATACCAAGTTAGCTAGTGTAGCCTAGCACTGGAAATACAAGTGGGTGGTGGAAAGAATGTATTTCAATCATGAGATTAACTTAGGGAAGGTATTGATACATCATTTATGGAAGTTTATGTAGAATTAGTCATTAACATCTGGATTTCTTAGGAAAGGACCTAGAGATATTGGTGGTATCCTCCTCAGCTACAACTTAACTTTAGAAATAGCAAAGATCTGACTTACTTCTAGGGTATTCTGTTGTAGAACTGTAACTTTAAAATTTTAGTCTAACTGGAACTCAGAGTGCAGGTGGTTTTCAAAAGCCATAATTAGGCATTAATGTTTTCTTATGCTGTTCAGCAGGGTACTGTCATTTGCTTAAAACTGAACGATGCACATCACTTGCAGCTGTATCACAAGTGAATTTGTTCCTTACGGGATTTTTAATTTAATTCCCCTCAAAATGAAGTTGTGGCTCCCAAGTTTTCAGTGCAGAAAGGAGATTACAACCAGAGATAGTGATCAATAAAAATAAAGGCATTTTTTTGTTTCTTAAACACTAATTTTTTTTACAGTAATTCTAGTAAGAACTTGGAATTACACATGTTTATGGAAAGGTTGTGGTATTGGGGCTTTTGGGAAAGAAGTCTGAAGGAAAAGAAAGGTGATTATTTAAGTTGAAGGTGTAATAACTTGCAGTCTTTATGTCATTGTATCCACATTTATTAGTAATGATGGGTAACACCGAAGATGAAGTCAAATCCAGTAGATTTCTGTCCTTCTGGAGGGTTTCCACATCTTACCCTCTATGACTATACATGTGGTTGGTTAGAAATTTTGGAAGGCAGGATTGTATGATGCATGTAACAGTGGGCATAGTGGTGGTTTTGGCTAAAAATTGAAACAAAGCCAAAAGAGGCAATGTCTCTAAGCTTCTGTCTTTGTGTCTTACCTGTTTGCTCTTTCCTCAGAGGTATTGAAACCACAGAAAGGATTCACAGTACTCCTCTCCTAGTTGCATCAGGATTGTGGCTTATTGTCTATCTACAGTTTCATGTAGTACTACAGTATTCATGAGGATTTAGTTTAGGCAGCAAAGAGGTGAACTGCTTTTTCTTTGACTGTGTGCTTGGTTTCATACAGAACTTTTCCATTATCAGTCTTTTTCTTAGCATAAGCAATTCAAAGCTTGTAGAGCTAAGAGAGTAAATTTAGAAATTTTAACATGTATTAAGTAAACTGCTGAGTTGCAGCCAAATTTCTCTGCTTCTTGTGATGGATCATTATTTCTGATGTGGTGTATCAGGATGCCTCTCTCGTTGACTTACTTGAAATTTTCATGCCAGATGGGACAGGCTTTGCTGCCAGAATGGTTTAGATTGCTTTAATAGTAAATGTGAGGAGGGAGGTAATTGTGCTGTTCTTGAAGAGCACACAATCAGTTACACGTGCAGTCAGTGGAACTGCTTAGGCAGCCCTGAGTCAGGAGTTGTTAGTCCCCTCTCAAATGGGTGTCTTGTTACTGCAGCTCTAATTCGGCAGGACAGAGAAATCTTTGCTTTGACATTCTTCAAGCTCTGTGATGTGCCACAGGAAATGTGTTAGAATGTCATTTGCAGTAGGACTTGTACATCCTAGATACTTCCACGGTGGAAGAACATGTTACTTGGCAGTGCATCCATCATGCCCAACTGCTCAAGTGGTTTTGAGGTGAGGAGATGAACTCTTTGCAATTACTGTCCTTGACTGCTGTTTCCTTCCTGTTGGTTTTGCTCCTTTCATGATGGCAGTCAGAGATGGTATCTTCTCTTCAGCAACATAGAGCTCCGTCCTGTGCTAAAACTTCTCTACTTTTACCTTTGTAGTTTTATTCATTTCCTTCACATTACTCCCTTGAGCTTTTTATTTACACTTTAATAATGTCATTTATTAATGTGTGTCTTTGCTAGTGGTATCTTATTCATGCAACAGACCATCTTGTTCCAAGTACAGTCTGTCATACCATCTTGAGCAACCTAATTTTTAAATCATTTCTCAGGATTCAAAAATCCTGTGCCCAAATGTCATTTGATGCTTAGGAAGGTATCTTGTGTCCTCTCCTGTATGCCTCAATGTTGGATATTTAAATACATATTTATTGATGTATATGGCTTGCAGCTCACTAGGGATATACAGAAACCTTGAGCTGATTGTTCTATAGGGTGTTGTAGGTACTAAACTGGTTTGGATGTTATACCTTGTTCTTCCCCCACTTTTTTGGGTGGCTTTACCTGAGATAATTCTTTTCACGTGCTTGTTTGTTCTGTAATTTCAAAGTGTACAATAGATGCTAATCTTGAAAGTTTAACATTTTTGTGACCCATTGAGTGCATCTCTCAGTATAGATGCAAAGTCAAGTTTCTCTGTGCTGCTCCAAGTTTAGACTTTAAGTCTTATTCCAGGAGCATTCTTCTTGTTTGCCTGATACTGTTGTTCTCAAGGTTTCAACACAGCAGAAGCCAATTGTTACTACCCCTTCAAAACAAACAAAAAAAAATCTGAAACCACAAAAACCTCCACCAACATTCAGTCCTGTTTAGTGTAAATCTGAGAGTCTGGCTGTGCAGCCGTGTGATTCCAGTCCATAATGGTGAAAAGAATATTGTTGACCACATCCAAGTGTTTCCTTCAGGAAAGCTTGCTGTTGACTTCCTGCTATTGTCATTTTATGTTTGAATTATTCTTGTCACTGTTGGATTTTCAGACATAGCTGTCATTTTCAGAAGTTTGCCTGGCTTTCAGTCAGTCCTAAGTGTTAGGCCGAGGCAACAGAGGATTGTCAAGTTATTAAATTTGCAGTGACTCTGGACCGTAACATTTTCTTTCTCTTTCCTATGCATTGTTAAGAAAGTTTCTTTACAAAGTATTTCTCATTATAAGTTATTTCCTTTAAATTGTGTGATTTTCATTTACACAAGGAGACTAGAACTGGTAGCAGGAGAGACAGAGTTTTAAAGCTTGACTGCCTTGTTAGACTTTTATTTGTTGCATTCACTTTTAAGATTATAGAATTCTGCTTTTTATTTCCTAGCAGAGAATATGTGCAAGAGATTCCCATTTGGAAAAAGATTGTGGTTTGTCTCTATTTTCTGGCTTGGTGTGACCAAGTAGTTTGATAACTTTCAGTCCTGTACGTTCACATCAGTGCTGGAAAATACTCGTGGATTCATACTGTAATTGCTTTTAACAGGACCATGAGAAATTTAAGATGTTGGTGTTAATTACTTGTAAGATTATTACAGAGGTGTTATATATGAACTGAATTTGTAAAGTAATTAGTGTAGCTTGGAAATTTAGGTGTGAAACTTTTACTTGTTAGGATACAGTTCTGTAAAGGAGTGCTCGGCAAACTCTTATGCAGAATTAAATTTGGTGTCAAGGATTAAATTACCAGGGCTGTGAAGTGGGGTAGTGAATCATTTCCAGGCAGTCTGCAGAGCTGTTGCTATCTGGGGTTTGAAGAGTATACAGCTGAAAAAAGAAGTGGTTATTCAATCTTATTCATCCACAATTCAAACCAAGTCTTTAACTTGAGCTCTTCAGTGTTTAAGAGACATGCTGCTTTGTTTGTTTCTGTTTGCCTTGACTTCCTTCCAGAAATTCAGGTTAATGTGAGTCTTTTTAAAGCTATGATTGTTTTGGTAATGCATCAGAGCTCAAGTTTTTACCGAGACTGGATGACTAGAGCTGCAGCAGGTGCAGAATCAAAGTGCAGAGTGACCTGGATGGATGTAGAGCAGTGGGCTGTAAGCAAATGGAAGGCACTCTGACCATTAATGCTTATATGCAAGGAAATGGAACATATGCCTTAATGGTGATGGAGAATATAATCAGTCCAAAAAGCTGATACATTAGGGTATTCATTTCCAGGTCTAATTATTTTAAATAACAAGAATCACTCAGATTGATACATAGTGATGCTAGAAAGGTAACTAGTGATGAACCACACTAGAGATGTGTATGGTTCTTTTACCAGTCTTTGGGTCATTGATCTGTGGGACTGTGACCATAATACATGCAATGACTGGAGAAGAAAAGAAAACCATAGTGATAGGTAATGTTTTTGAAGCATTAGGGTTGTTTATTCAGTACTAGTTATTATGTTTAGTCTCTCAATGTAGTTTTTAAGGCATCTGTTGATGTTGGTGTTTTTAACAATGCATGTTTCTAAAACCAATTATATTTGGCAAACTGAAAAAGTTGCAGTAGAGTGATGAAGTTGCAGTACAGTGATTTTCATCATGAAATTACTGTTGGGCTTTGCTTGTGTTCTTTTCTTCCTTAGTGTTAGACCTGCGATTAAAGTCTTTATTATGGCCTGCTTTTCGCCTAGGGGAAATGTGTATGTTAACTTTGTAGTAATTTTATTGAAAAATTCCAATGTATTGAAGACTCTCAAGTGAGTTTTTTAATAGTTGTTCTGCATCTAATTCCAAGTTTAAAAATAAGGGTCCAAAGTCTTGCCATCACACTACTTTTATTTAAAAGGCTCTTTTTTTCTTAAATACCCTTTTCTTAATAGATGGCTTATCATTTTAACTGCTGCTTCTACTACCACCAGTGAGGTTGGGATTTTGAAGCTGGAGTTACAAGCTAATTCTTGGCCAAGCACGAACATTTCATCTCAGTGCTGGTGCATGACTCAGCAGCACAGGTTGGAGCTGGTTTGGGAGGGAGAGGAGGAGAAGTATTGCTTTTGTGTTCTTAGTCAGAGGTTATGGTAGATCATTTATGCTGATGTATGCTGGGTCACATCCCCTGGTGCTCCAGGTCACTCTCTATTCTGCTCCCCTCTGCTGTGGCCTGTGGTTCCTCTTGTATCCCAGCTCTACCTTTGAGCAGCTGCATCAGGGTCAGCCACTGTCCTTGGAGAATGCTCTGGAAGAAGTGCCTCTCTGCTTTCTAGCTTGGTTCTTGAATATCTTTTACAACATTAACCTAGCTAACACCTTTAGCAATTTTTGAAGTGGAAATGAAGCTGTGGCTGTGGAGTCCCTGAGTTGGAAGCATTTGTTTCCTGATTTGCACAGTGTGCACAGTGAGTGGAGCTGAAGGTGCTGCTGGTTGTGGCCAAGTGTACAAACTGCTGAGACTCTACAAAATGGCACAAAAGTGCAAGTGGCAGGGCTGTCACTTGTAGCAGTGTTTATTTGTGTAAGAGAAGTGAGTGGCTGACAGAATATCACAATGTGTATGTGAGAGGATCGGGTCATAAAAGCTCCGTTCTGAGAAAAGTGTCTGTGCTGCTGCCACTTCAGGGAGGGCTGCTGTGGCTACCTGGAAGCTGGCAATGCTTAACTCTCATTTGCCAGTTGCTTGATAATTAGAGGCAGAACATTTGAGAGTTAGTGGCAGTTTGGGAGGCGGCTTTTTCTACTGGTCCCACCCTACTGCAGAGAGCAGACCCTGAGCTCTGCAGTAGGTCTGGTAGTGACTGCAGTAGCTGCAGGAATGTTAAGTGGGTACCTACATTCTGCTTTGAGCATTTAACATCTCTTAGATTTGCATTAATAAGGAAAACTACTATGCCATTATTTGCAAATGGTCAGAACTATTTTATTTACTACCTGAGTAGCTGCTAAATAGCACTGGAGGCCCTGTGTAGATGCTGGAAACATTCGGGCCTCTTCATCCTAGCTGTTTACTTCTCCTCCTAGGAGGAAGGATCAGCACAAGGCCAGGAGCAGGAAGCTGGTGAGATCCAGAGCTGTGGTTTGTGGCTCTTGTGGCTCATTAAATAAACTAGGACAGATTTTATGAGAGACTTGGAAAGATTTTTGCAAAAGATGAAACCAGTGGCAATGGAGCAGAGGCTTGTTCTCTGCCAGGTGCCTCTCTCCCCTTTGATTTTCTTTCTAACTGTGTTGCTGGCTCTGTGGCCTTTATTCCCTTTGCAATGCTGATGGAGACAGGGAACAAACATGTAGAAATAATTATAGAGCCAGGATTTGTGCTGAGAGGAAAGAAGCCATGGCAGGCCAGGCACAATGGGGATGCTGCTGTGCTGGCCTTGTTAACGGTTGTCTGTATTCTTTGGAAAGAACATCTCACTGAAATAGTTGGAAATTCTGCATGTCACAGGCACGAGGAACCCACAATAGGTCAGTCTGGAAAGCAGAAAGGTTCCTCTGTTGGTGACCTTCTGAAATTCAGAAACAACTGTCAGCCCACATGATACACCTCTGATTTATGTCACTCCGGGTCAGCAAAAGCAGTTTTTAAACCTAGGGAGCTCTACCAAGTGTTCTACAAGGTTGCAGGCATCACCTGAAATATTAATATGCTCCTTGCCCAGAAACGGTGACCCATATAGTCAAAGAGAAAACTGCTAAACACTGTTACCCATGGAAGTGTTAGTGCAGTTGCATCTGACCATCTTTAGCTCAAGTTCAGCTGTGTGACCTCTGAGTTAGGACTCAATGCATAGTTACAGCCTGAGGTTGAGGGGAAAGGTGGTAAGGCAGTATCAATTTATATAGGGAGGCTAGGCTGCTTTTTTTCTTCTTTTTTTTCCCTTTTTTTTTTAGTAGGAAAGGCTGGATTTTTGTGTGGCTGTACCTGCATTTTTAGTGTCTCAGAATCAACACTGTGTAGTTCAGAAATGTTAAATCTGGCAGAAGGGGAAGATGAAGCAGGGCTGGAGCTGAGGTGACTGTATAAAACAAAACACTGTCACTAACACTGGCATCTCCACCTAGTAGTTGGTGGCAGGTCTGGTAGCACAATTGAGGGAATGAGTGGAAAAGGTAAAACCCAAACCAATATTCAGAAAGTAGATGACTATCCCTGTGGTGATAGGGGTATGATCAGTTTTCAACTCTTAAGTGTCTTTTTCTAGGCACTGGAGAGTTATTAAATCTGGGAATCTTTTCTGCCTCATTTCCTACTAGTGTCTTGATAATCTTCCTCATCTAAGGAAGAAAGGATGAGCAACCACAGATTCTTTCCAGAGCATCTGCGTTGTTTTCAAGGTTGCCTGGGTTTCAATTCAAGTTAATTTACTCATGATGAGAGCAAGAAGCTCTAACAGTTTTGAAAATCAGATATTTTTCTTGGACTTTTTGTAGGTTCAGATAGAAGCATTGCTTTGATTCTTCGTTATTTTTTTGTCTATTATATTTTTGTGCTGATACATTTTATGAAGGTTTTATAACAAAAATGTACCAGTTCCAAATAGCTGTTTCTGCACAGTACCTTTTACCCAAGTCTAGTTGAAATAGCCCAAAAGTTGCTTAGGTATAGACAAATGCTTGCTTACCATGGTTTGATCAGTGATTATCATGCCATTTTAAGAAGGAATTAATTGGGTGGTTGGTTGATGGGATCAGTTGGCAGTAGATGCATGAGGCTAGGGAATTTACAAAAGGGAAGAGGTTTTCTTGCAAATTCTGGTGGCAGTATTCAGGAGTTTATACTTGGATCTTAGAGTGCTGAGAATAGGGGGCCGGAGAAGGAGTATTCAAAAGCAAACAGGCTAGTGGCAGCAGGTTTAGTCACTGAGCACTTGCAGGCTTCTGGCACTTAGCAAAAATTCAATCTAATTAAAACTCCTTAAAAAAACCCCAAAACAAACACAAAAAACTCCCACCAAACAAAGAACCTTTTTAATAACCTTTAGTCTGGTAGAGTGAATTTATGCAGATTCTATCCTCGGTATCATATGACCGCATGCAAGTTGTAACATTCTCACAAAGATTTAAGTCTATATCCTTTCCCTGAAGTGGTTTAAATTATTCTGTGCAGCAGGAAAAGCTTATTCTGGTTACAAAAAGCAGAAATACCAAATGGATCTCTGCCTAAAGAAAGCATATCTCTTAATGAGGTTATTTCTTAAAGGTTTTGTATTGTGATCAGAACCTAAACCACTACCAACAGCAAGATGCTTTCTTTGAAAAACTAATTTCAAAGGTATTTCCAGTGTTGTCCATTTAGACATGACACTCCTGTGTTCACAATGATTTACAGAAGACTTTTTTCCCTTTGCAGAAACGGAAGGCTTCAAGATTGACACTATGGGCACCTACCACGGAATGACTCTGAAGTCTGTAACGGTAAGCTGCAAGTCTGTACTTAAATATGTTTTATAAAGTGATAGTGTACCTATAGATATATGTTTAGAGATACAGATATCTTGTCAGCCTGGCCTAGGCTCTGGAAGGTCACTAAGGTTGAGTAACAGAATTGGTGCAAGTTATTCTCCATGAAAAGATAAAATGTTTTGTGTGATCTGCATGTTTTAGAGGACTTATGGATTTGTTTGCAGTAAAAGGTGTGCTGGGATGGCTTTGCTGACAGGTTCTTCTTGTGGAGGTGCAGCCTTTTTCTGCTCTACTTGACATACCCAGAGTTTTGCTCACCTTAGGTGTGTCTGGGAAGGACATAGTTCATAATCATAAGTGATAAAACTACACTCACAAAACTGAAGTAATAGAACTAGGTTTTGGAGCATTACTCTGTTTCCTACTCGGTATTTAATAAAATAAATTTGTTTGGTGGTGGAAGAATTTGACCTTGGCATTACTGTTGAAGCTTTCTAGTCTAGTGAGATGGATTTCTTTTGTATGACTGTACAATGCTGTCGGTGGGAATTGCAGCAGACCCAGATGAGAAAGAGACCCTCAGATTCCCCCTTTTTTTGGCCAGTATTTGTCTGCTTTTGTGGAAGTGAGTTGAATGCTCTCAAATAAATCCTGTTTTGATCTGCTGGTAAGTAGGACAGATGCTACAAAACTGATGTAGTGCCCTCATTAAGGTTTTTGCCATCTGCATACCTACATAAATCTGATGAATAGACAGCACTAAACACTCTCCTAAATCCATGCACCACTTCTAGTTTGCACTCCTAATTTGAACATCAAATAGTATCTTGTGTGTAAATTTCTTAAAAACATTCAGAGTTTTTTCTTGTTGGATAAAAGTTCTTTCCCAGATCTTTCATTCCCAACTTCCTCTAGACTTGGCATACTTAAAAAAAAAAAGGAAGGGAATATCTAAGGAAGGAATCTACTTAGTTATAAACAGGGTTCTTTCTAAATGAATTCAGAAATTGATTGGGTGAAGAAAAAATATAACCTATTAACCTGTTGTGTCTGAAGATTTGTTCTTGAACTTTGCATGAATTTTGGGCTGCTTTATGAGGTATCAAACAGTGCTGTTACACTGAACCCAGATTTCTGTGGTATAAGATACCTGTTTCAAGTGGTAGTGACTTGAAATGGCTTGTTAAGTAGATTCTGTTTAAGTTGTCCTGTGGGGAGGAAAAAGAAAGAAAGAAGAAAAAAGCAAGATTATAGTATAATAGAAATGTTTTAAGTTTATCTGTGTAAAATCTGTAAAAGTGAAGGGATGCACAGTGACTCTAAAAATTATATGGGTTTTTTTAAGGTCATAGAAAGTAAAGGTTTTTTGTTCTAGGAATACTACCTCATGTATTGAGTCTACTACCTAGAGTTTTGAGGTTGTTATTAAGCTGTCCTTGTTGGTTTCTTCATTTAGAAAGAAAATAAAATGGATATTAAATAACAAGTAAACCTTTTTTTAACATAAACTGGAATTTTTTGAAATAACTGTTTAGGAGGTATTGCATGATTGCACAAAAGACATCATCTGGTGTCAGGAGAAATATTAAAACTCCATCTGTCATTAAGCTTTTGTTTAAGAAAGGAGTTGTAAGGGATTTATGGAGCCTTATTTTACAGACTGTTAAAAAGGTACCCTTAATGTTTAGCTCATTCATAAATTGCAGTGACATACTCGTTCTGTGTTTCAGATAGAGGAGAAATAAATCTGTTAATTATGTTCATCTGTTTTTGTCCAAACTTTGTCATAGTAATGGACCACATAGTTCTAACCCATAATCTGAGATTGCATTTTTATGTAGAATAGTTAATCTCCTGCCAGATAACAAGCTTCGTATTTTGCTTTTACTCAGGGTTTTTTTTTGTGGTTTATACATATTTTTTTATGTTAGACAAACTAGGGAGGAAATGGGAAAGTAATTTCTTCCCCTAGGTGTTTAATGGAAAAGTACATTATACTCATTGGCTAAATTATAGGAATATGAAGGATAACACTGGAATTCATTCTGCCTATAAGATGTCATCTGCTGTCTCATAGTATTGGTATAATCCTTGTATGAACTCATCAAACTTTCCAAAGGAATTGAAACATTAGGTAGCTCTTGGTTAGAGTCTGTATTTAAACTTTAGCCCTCTGATTTCCGGAGGAATGGTGAAATTTCAAAGGTTCATTTTTTAAGCCATTGTTTTCTTTGATGTAGGTAGCTCCTCTGTTTCTTCTATGGTGCTTGCTTCCATTGTATTTCTGGAGAGCAGTCACATTGCCTTAAAAATTATGCCTATAACCTGAGCTAAAGTGACCCAAGTTTGGAGTTGCCCACCTGCTTCTCATGTAAAATTTGAAAGAACCTTTATTTGTTTCCTGTTATATTCCATACATGTCTTCCACTTGCACTCTGCCTTATTGGAATTCTCCATAATGATTTTTATGAAATGTGCTAAACTTCTGTTTTGTGTTTGTTCTTCCTGCAATGTGAGTTGTCCTAGATGCTTGTTCTTTTTAACAGCAAAACAAAAACTTCTTCATCTTGACTGCTTTCTTTTCATCAGTGATGTTGGAAACTTTCTTAGCATTCAGAATTTGTGCCAGAACAGATGGTGAATGGTGGGCTTTTTCTGAAGTAATGTCAGCTAAAATAACTTGTGCTGCTGGCAGTTCTTCTCTGTAACAGGGTTTTTGCTTAATTGGCAGACTTACTTTCTCGTAGGAAGAACGGACTTATTTATTGAATTTTTATTATGAAGGCATGATTTCATTATTCTGGACCTGGAATTGTTTATAACAGGGCATCTTCCTCAGAAAGATTTTTTTTTTTTTAAATACCTGTGGCACTTTCTATTTGCCTGGCTTGATGATGCTTTGGAAACAAGTGACTTAGTGGTGGTAGCTCTTGCTGCTATCAATTTACCCAGAGGTTCACGTTGCGAATTGTGCAGCATGACTTTTGGAAACCTAGAAGTCTGTCTGCAGCCTTCACTTCCAAGCATAATCCCCTGTATAGCAGGAAATCTAGTTATCTGCACCTGTGTCAGGAGAGGGAGAAGTTGCTTTTTCCACAAGTGTCTGATAAAGCTGGCTGTTATATGTGGGTACTAAACTGCATCCTCTTCCAAGCTGAAGGCATGCTCTGTCTTGACTGTGTGCACTTGCAAATGGAATTTGTTTATCCATTGCAATAATAGTGATGGTGATGCTGGTTTTACTCAAGTTTTCATGACTTGAGTATGAAAAAAGTAATAGCATGATAGCCTGTGGAGTTGTTGGGGTGATTTCCTCTGAGTTCTGAGAGCCCCGAGTGGTCATGAGCTGTGATTCAGGGAGGCTGTAAACTTGTGTGCAAGTGAACCAGATCTGCACAGCACTGCAGCAGGCCCTTGTAGAAATGATTTTGTTGTTTTTCCTAATTGCTGGAAAGCTCTCCTCTTTTAAACTTCTGCTTTCTTTTAGCATTCAGGACTGCTTAAGCTCAGAAACTTCTTTTATCTTTTGGTTTTGCTGCTAGTAATGGAATCTGTCATTGATCATCTGCACTCATAGGCAGCCAGAACTACTGTTGGTATTTTCTTTCTTTTACTAAACAGGTGGATACAACATCTCTTGCAGGTATTGAGCTGACAGCCTTCCCAGAGAGTTTGGGGTTACACCTCATTGATCAGTATAGTTAGGGATGGTTTCATTAAGGGACTTCACTTGCAGCAAACTCAAAGGCAAATGTCTGGGGTGTATCCAAACTTAGTAAGTTTTATCTCTGGTAGGAAGTTCTATGTAAGTTTTCAGTGCTTCTGAGTTCAGTGATAATGTTCTTCCTGAAAACTGACAGAAGTAACATCCCTTTTCCAGTGTACACTGACAGGCTTTACTACAATCTCTAGGTAAAAGTACCCTGAGTAAACATATGAGATTGTCAATAATTAAATACATTTCCTAGTCCCAACAGAAAACAACTAATAAAAAGGGAGTCCCTATGTAAGCCACAGTACAAGCAGGCTCATTTTGAGAATTGAAGACTGATTCAGCACCTCTAAGGTCAACAGTGTTTTTCAGCAGTTTGTGGTCAGTATCAGATTTTGGGCATTAATTAATCTAAGGATTGTGCTGTTGTTGCACTCAAAATCTTTTGAGTTGGTATAACCTCTGTAATTTTATTTATTTTTTTAACTGAGAGATTGTTTAACCTCTGTATTTTCAAAGAAATAGTGTGTAGTACAATGAACGGAATTGCTAAGTTTCTGGCACTTCACGGACTGGGTCCTTGGAGAGGAAGCATGTGGGGGCAGAAGCAATCAACATGGTGGATGCATGTAATTTATATGAAAGACTTAAGATAATTGATATGCTTCTGTGTGAGTTGGTAAATCCACAAGATCTCCATAAGTGATTGTGAGGAATTAAGGTTGTGATTCAGAGTCAAAAATTGAAATGACCTTTCAGAAGCACATGGTGGAATTGCACGTCGTCTCTCAATGTTCAGATAAATGGCCCTTATCTTTAAAACACAAATAAAAATTTAATGCATGTTAAATATTAGAGATAGGGGAGAGATACCTACTTATCCACATGTTACCAGTTTTCTGTGTCATGTCCTAGTCTCATTAAAATGTTTGAGGAAAGTGGTATTGAGGGAGGAGTCAACAGAACAATGCACTCTTTGAAAGTGTTTGAAACAGGCTCTGAAGTGGAGCGTAATTTTCATGCAGCCTGTGCATAAGCTGGTCATTATTCTCAATGTGAGTGTAACAACAGCCCCCGCTTCTCTCCGCGGGCTGAGCAGAAGTCTCTGTGGGCATCCTATTCAGTTATTAACCATCAAGAGGAGGTGAAGAAAGCTGTTAAATAGATTTGCATGGAGGGCATATTTTTTAGAAGAGTTTTCCTAGATGATGCTGGAGGTAGAGACTTGTTTTCATTGGATTTGTAAATTTTTTTCCACGTTAAATATACTTATCTGTAACTGTAATTTGGACATACCCGT